CCTGCCGCTTGCCTGGCTTGCTGGCCCTTTTGGGGGGGGGGGGGTGCACCCCTTGCCTGGGCTGGCAAAGCGGGAGGAGCAGAGGGGTTTGTGCCCAGGCAGTGGCAAGGGACCACATAAGCTCTTATATTGCCCCGGCTATGAAATAAATGGACTTTGTACATGGGCGTGTTGTGCAGCTCTGTCCACACTACAGATGGTGTCCGGGTGCCTGTGCACAGGATCTGAGATACTTTGCAGCCTCTCCAGAAACCTTCCCTGCGCTGACCTCCTGTACAGCCTTGGCTCGAGGTCCCCAGGGTTCTTGCCCAGCCTCTGAGCCCGGTGGCCGCAGCCCCGTGGGAGGCACACTGCTAGCCTCACCCCACGCTCCGGGGGTGGAAACCCAAATTTGGCTGCGATAGCAGCAGTGGCCATCAGACAGTGAGCAGGAAGGATCTCCAGGAACTTTCTGACAGCAGTGACGGCTGCTTTTCTCCTGCTTGGGTGATCGGCATCTCTCCCTCCCGGTGGCCTCGTGCCAGGCTCTGGCATGTGGCAGAAGTCCTGGGGCCGAAACAGCATCCTGGTGACTCACAGCGAGAAAGGTCGTGAATAATGAGATGAATCTGTCTGGGATATGGGGAAACACTACGGTGATGCTGGTGGGAATTGTTTAAATCCCATTTTCTCTGCTGGAAAGAGCAACCAGCCTCACGGTGTTGAAAACCCTGTGTCCCATCCCCATGCAGCTTGATCCACAACAGCCGGCATCGGGTTTGCTTTTGGTGTTGGGGCTGGAGGGGCAGGCAATTCCCAGGGAAGCAGGACCTTGGGCGAACACCTCCCTCCCCAGGGGGAGAGCCCAGCATGGGTACACAGCCCCCAGGGAGTAGAAATGCCTGCGCTGGAGCTGTGGGCTGTGGTTGGGCTGGGAAGGGAGCTTACATGTATTCCTTGCCTGGCCCAGAAACAAATTTCTGTTTTGAGCTGTTGTCTCTCTCTCTCCCCTCTCAAGTTGCAGAATTTGAGACAAAAAAACAGAGTTATTTTCCTGTTGTTCTCTCTCTCTTCCTCCCTCGCTGGCAAGGCACGGTGACGGCAGCTGGAGAAGATTATGGCTGTGCTGGGTGGGAGCAGCCCCAGTTCTGCTGCCCCCTCGTGCTCCACCCCAGTGTCCCTTCCCTGGGGACACCGTCACGTGTGGGGACGGTCAGCGGCATCTGGCATCAGGAACTGGAGCTGAGCAGCTTTGCTATAAGAGGAATAGGGAAGAAGCCACAAATATTGGAGTGGTTTGAGAAGGAAGCCTGGTTTGGAGCCAAACACCTGAGGAGAAGCATGCAAACCCCCTCGTCCCTGCAGCCATGCCTGGTGGCTGTTCCCACCTCCCCGTGCCCCTTTTTGTGAGCATCCAGCGGGTACAAGAGGTTTCCTTTCATGGTAGGAGTTTTCTGGGAAGTTTCAAGCCCGCGGCAAACATTTCCAGGAAAGGCATTGCAAAGCCTTGGAAAGACATGACAACAAACAGCACAGAGCAAAATGGCGGTGGGGGGAGAGCAGGGAGAAGCCAGGACATTTTTAAAGCATGCAAATGGGAGGGATGGATTTAGACTGATGTACACTGTCAAGTTGGAAATTCCTCCTCCAGGACTAAGCAAGACAAGCAAATCTCCCCGCGGCCCTCGCTTCAGTGCCTGAACAGCGTTGGAGCTCGGAGGCAGCATTTGCGTGGTGTTTTGCCGAGGAAAAATGCCTTTTCCTGCCCGTTGCGGAGCGGGCCCTGCAGTGGTGACACTGTGGCAGGCAGGCGCGATGCAGACGCCGAGGTGATTCAGCATCCGCCGGGGATGGTTCCCTGCCAGCGGAGCTGGAGCGTGGCGGGAGCCGGCTTGTGGCCCGCGGGGGCTGCTGCTGGGGGAGGTGGATGCTGGCAGCCCCAGTGATGAGGTGATGTAGGATGCTGGCTCTTACCTCACCTCTGGGCAGCGATGAGAGCCATGCTGGGGATGCAAGCACCCGGCTCGGCTGCCTTATCCCTGCCAGACAGGGAATGGTGGACCCTGTGGCTTGTCAAGAAGGTTGTGGGGAGCCCCAGTGGCAATTGGGCAGCAGGAGCTGACCCCAAATATCTTGGGTGATGTGGGGAAAGCATTGTCTGGAGCAACTGCTGATACAGGACCCAAACACAAGCCCTGTGGCCCCAAAGGGAGGCTTATGGGGTCCCAAACCGCCCTCTGCGCTCCAGGCTGCAGCAGGGTCTTCGGGAGCACATCACAAACGTCACAGCCGGTGGGCTCATCCTTCCCCAGCCTTGGGGTTGAGCAAAGCCCCGCAGGGTCAGAGCGCTTGGAGGGGCTCCTCATGCAGGAGGGGACAGCAGCAGCACTCGGTGGCCACCCGTCTCCCCTCCCCTGCTCAGCAGCAGTGAGTCACTGTGTGCCCCTGTCCCCTTTGGGTGGGGGGCAATGGGCCAGGGGTATTTTTGCAGGGGGCAAATCTTTGCCTGAGAGAGGAAGGGATGGGGATGCTGGAGGGGGCAGCAGCCACAGCCATAGCTCTGGGGGTGTGGGGGCACTCGAGGAGGGGGGGGTCCCTGTTCCAAAGGGTGCTGGGCACCGTGCCCAGTGGGGAGGCTGCTGTCAAACCCCGGCAGCGCCTGCGGAATCACACGGGCTGGAGCAGAGCGGTGAGATCTGGGCGAGCTACGGAGACAGCAGCATGGGGGAAGCCTTGGCGCTGGGGGAGCTGGGGCCTCTCGCCTGGCAGAGCTTGTTTTGCTTGCGCCTCCCGTTGCACACCTAGAACAAAAGTTCAGAGGTTGCCCCAGCATTGATGCCGTGCCAGGCTGCCAGAGGGAAAGCAGCGCTGCTGCCAGCCGGGGCGATGCTGCCTGCTGCTGCCTGAGTCCCTCGCCACCGTCCCCAGCACTCTGCGTGGAAGAAGCTCCTTGCTTGGCTCTGGGACAAGCTCAGCCAGCAGCAGTACGTGGTCCCCACCTCCGGTTTCACATTCCCTGTGCTCACCATGGCCCTGCAGCCTGGCGTGGAAGTCTCAGCAGCCCCCGGCCCGTGGCTCTGGGACAGCTGGGGAGGGTGGTGGCAGCGGCAGCATGGCGGCCAGGGGGCTGGAAGCATCTGGCCTCCTGCCCCTGGACTCCTGCCAAACATCTGCAGCAGGCGGGAGCCAGCTCCAGCCCAGCTCTGGTGGAAAAACAATCGAGGAGGGAAGTTCGCGTGAGGGTCAGCCCGCCCAGCATGCCTGCCATTTGGGGTGGGGGACCCCGATCTGGCAGGATGGAGCAGCACGCTGCCCTCAGACAGTCTTGCTGGAGCCTCCGGCACCCTCGGCTCTCCCATGCTGCCTCTGGCACGGCACGGCACGGCACAGCAGGGACGCTGGGTGACATGCCCAGGGTCCCACGGAAGCTCAGTGGCAGAGATAGGATCCATCGACTGCAGCTCATTAAATCCTCCCCTATTCCCCACCTCCACCAAGGCAGATTCGGTGCCAGGACCCAAGGAGAGGGGACTTGGAGAAACGCATCCCTTATTTTTATTTTGACTTTAGCAAAACGCAATTCAGGACTGGCGCAGCCTTGCCCTGCGTGTGGTGGGGATCAGGGACACAACCACGCTGTGCCACCACTGCACGTGCCGCACTGCTCCTCCTGGCCCCCAAGGCCCTGTTAACCACAGGAAAGCCACCAAAGCCCCACGCAGTCAATTAGGGGATATAATTAGAAGTGAGTGTCTGTTCCCATGGTGGGAACTAGCAGGGCAGGGAGCGCAGCCTCATGCAGCTCCCTGGCTCTGTCCCGGGGGGTTGGCTCAAGCCCTGGCCGGGGTCAGCAGCGTGAGCTGGCTGGGGAGTGTGGCACCATGCCGGGCACGTACCAGTCCCTGTCGGCTGCAGGATGCAGCGAGGTGCAAGCAGCATGTTGGCCAGGAGCTGCAGTCCCACGACCCTGTGGCCCCAAATCTCCCCAGAGCCTGGGAAGTGGGTGGGGAGGGTCGAGCCCCTGGTTTTGGCTCCCACAGCCTCTCCGGTTTTGGGAAGGAGCCGCCTCGTGCCACCCATGGCCACATCTGTGAGGGGTGACCGGAGCACCGCTGCGGCCAGCCCAGCCGTTGGCACGTTGTGTTGGGCTCTGGGCAGTCCCCAGGCAGCGGCTGAGCATCTTGGGGGTTTGCCTGGACCCTGGGGAGCACCCTACACCGCTTGGGGACCCATGCCAGGGCAGGGCTAAGACACTTCTCCAGTAGCAGTGCCGGTTTAAAGCTTTGGGAGATGCTGCCCATGACAGAGGGAAGTGCAGCTCCCCTGCTCTGTGGGTTCCCCGGGTGCCTGGGGGACGTACACGACCCCCAGCCCTCCCACACCAGCCGAGGCTGCACTTGGAGCCTGACAACATCAGCCTTTCCCAGGACATGGTGTTCCTGCCGGCAAAGGACATGGGATGGGAGATTGCTCCCAGCCTCCCCCAAGCCCATGGCCCTGCTCTCCTTCCCTGGTGGCATCTCTGGCAGCCGGCTCAGTGACAGCACCCTGGCAGGGCTGCCCCTGCTTTCTAGTAAAGCCAAACCTCGTGCTGGCACCCGTGGTCCCCCCGGGGCTCACCCACTGCCACCCTGTCCTGCCCTCTGTTCCAGGCCAGCCCCCACCCCAAACCGCAGCACCCCCCAGCTCCCCTCCAGCCAGTTAATTCTGCCATCAAATAATTTTTTTTTGCAGGATTTCGGGGAATTTACACCTCACCACGGATATTTCCCTTGGAGCCAGCCCAGGGTAAATGTTTGCATTCCCCGGGTATGCAAACAGGGCCCTGGAAACTCCTGTCCCCGGGGACGCCAAGGGCTAAAGAGACAGGCTTGCCCTGCCCTTGGCCACAGTGGGGTCACTGTGGGGCTACAGCCCCCCAGCCCCGGCACAGCACCCCCCCCGTGAGGGACCCTGCTCCAGGCCTGCTTCTAGCAGCACCCTAATTTGTTGGGTTGCAAAGAAGAGAAGCTCGACCAACCCTTCCCCACGCCTGAGCAGCCCAGCCGTGGGACCCCCAGCCCAGCCTCCCCAGGGGGACGCTGCTGGGGCGGTTGGGTCCCTGCTCTTCGGGTCCCAGCACCCCACTCGGGGATGACCTGTCCCCTGGGTGCCCTGCGCAGACTGGGGACATTACCTGCCCCCTCTCCCACACCGAACGCCTTTTAATCCCCAGGTCCTCGCTTCCTAAGAACGCATTGCATAAACCCTCGGCACACGCGGCCGCCCCGTGTGTTGGCGGCTGTCCCACGTCCCTGCCACGCCGAGGTG